TTCTTTCTTTCTTTCTTTCTTTCTTTCTTTCTTTCTTTCTTTCTTTCTTTCTTTCTTTCTTTCTTTTCTTTCTTTCTTTCTTTCTTTCTTTCTTCTTTCTTTCTTCTTCTTCTTCTTCTTCTTCTTCTTCTTCTTCTTCTTCTTTTCTTCTTCTTCTCTTCTATTCCTCCTCTTTCTTCTTTTCTATTCCTCCTCTTCCTTCTTCTCCTTCTTCTTCTCTTTCCCCTTCCCCTTCCTCTTCCTCCTCTTCTCCTTCTTCCCCTTCTTCCTCTTCCTCCTCCTCTTCTTCAATTAAAAAAAAAATCTCACACTGTGGCCCAGGTTAGCCTCAAAGTTAGAGCTGTCTGCTGGCTGAGTCTCCCTGAGTGAGATAGCAGGGAGGCATTCACCACAATACTAACTTATAACATATCTTAAGTAACTTGCCAAGACATATATTGAGGGGAGCTGGGGAACAGTGTGAAAATGTGGATGTATGTATGCTAATGGCACAGTTCCAGACACTCCCAATGCCAACACCCTTTGTGTGGGCAGAGTTTACACGTAGGAAACCAGGCATCTCCAGGTAAAGAGCACTAGCTAGCGTAGGTAAGCAAAGACTGAGATGACGGTCACAAGACACAGGGCAATAAAGAGGGAGTCCTTCACACAATTAAAAATTTGAACAAACAGGGCACTTACCTCCCTAACATTAACATGGAGCACAGTATTGATAAACGTCGGGGTATACGTAACCAGGAGGCTGTTCGACCATATGAAAGCAAAGCTATTGAGGATAATGGCCCAGAGTGGAAGAGACATCAGCATAGCCTTGATCGGCAGAGATTGTCTGCCTGAGCTGACCTGGAAAATAAGGGTCATTCTGAGTGAGGATCAGCTGGAAGGCGTTTTTTTTGTTTTTTTGTTTTTGTTTTTGTTTTTGTTTTTTGGAGCAGAATCTAGAATATGCCCAAAAGGAGCTTAGTGTTTTACCTGCTGGGTGAGAGAGGATATGATGTAGTCCTTCTCACTGCTACTCATGTATGGGTGGTCCTTGGGGTCATCATAGAACAGAACGAACCAGGAGAGACTCAGAACACAGCCAACAATACCTATCAAAGAAACACATTATTACAGGAAGTTCTAGCTTTCTTCTCTGAAGCCCTGGGAGGCTCACATTTTGACACTCTTCTTTGTCACTACAGCTGGCACTTGTTGTGGAATGAATTTTACTGAGATGCTGAAGTGTCGGTGAACCCTAGGGTCTATTCTGATCCAATGAGTTCCTCCACTCACCCAGGGTTCCTGAATCTTGGGCCTTTATCTTTTCAGATTTGTAACGGTTCCCTACTTCAAGAACATGCCATACCGAGCTTTCATAAAGCTACACAGCCATAAATTTTAATCAGCATTACGAATGAGGATGGGTGTGGCGATGGAGGGCAGTGGGCTTGTGAGAATGGATGCATTTTCCTACTATGACTCTGTCTTTAGCACACTATGTGGATTAGGCATTTTCTGTGGCCCTCTGACTCAATCTGTCCCCCTTCCCATCGACTTAGATATAGATGGCTTGAAGAAACATCAACAGGCCTTCCTCCCCTGGGCTTTCTTGTAATTTGGTAAATAGAAAGCCTGGGAAGGGATGATAGGGAGAGAGTTAATGAGAGTAGGACACATTTTCAAAAAGGAAACATCTCCTTATATGTGAATAAACATCTCCTTGTTTGTGAATAAACAGGGGACATTCTACAGGCATCCAGTCGATGGGACTTTTTGATGAGTTCTGACAACTCTAGCTCACTTGTTCTCTCAGGATTGCAGGATAGTGGTGCTCTTCTAACCTAACTCTACATTGTGACATTGTCTCTATAAGTTTTTCAAAGTGATTGTGTGGTAAATGTGTTGGTTTGAATGAGAATGGCCACCATAGGTTCATATGTTTGAATGCTCGGTCCTCAGTCCATGGAATGTTTGGGAAGGATTAGAAGGTGTGGTCTTGTAAGGGGAAGTTATGGCCTTGTTAGAAGAGTTGTATCACTGGGGTTGTCTCTGCCTCTCTCTCTCTCTCTCCCTCTCTCTCTCTACCTCATGGTTGCAGTCTCAAAATGTAAGCTCTCAGATACTGCTTCAGTGCTATGCTTGTCTGCCTATTGCCCTGCTCCCTACCATGACAGGATGAACTTACCCTCCCAAATTGTAAGCAAGCCCTCAATTTAAATATTTTTCCTTTTCTTAAGTTGCCTTCATCATAGTGTCATAGCACAGCAATAGGACAGTAAATAAGTCCAAAGTTTGCCAAAATTGTGACTTTGGATAATGTGGCTTGAGTGGGAAATGTCCCAAGAGGCCCTTGTGTTTGAACATTTTGTCCCTAGCTGGTGGCACAGGTGTGAAAGGTTGTGGAATCTGTGGAAGGTAGATGGTGTCTTGTTGAAGGAAGTTAGTCAACAGGGAAAATCATTGCAGCTTGAAACCCAGATGTGATTTTATAATCCATTTGGCATTGTTTTTTACCTTTATTTTGTTCACTTACTCCAATTTCCCTGAAAATGTTACTATGTTTGGTTGTGGCCTGACATTGCAGGTTTGGATTCTACATAACATCCTTATCCTATGACCTTTCAGGAATCAGTACAGGTAACTACTGTGATAATCTATTTCCCCAGATGGTTTTTTAGTGTAAGATGTATCATACTGTGACGTGTAGCTATGTGAAGTGATTATGAGCTTGAGAACTGCATTTCTGATCACCAGCCCCCTTGAATGTTGGCTTCTCTTTCCCTCAGTAGAGACTGTGGATATTTTAAAAATAGGGTTTTTATATAAATTGCTACATTATGTTAAATTTAAATTTTTGTGTACTCTTACATTTTGATGTTTTGCTGAGGTTTTATAAAATGAGACTCACCAAAAATGTAGAAAACCATGGGCCAGCCCAGAAGATCACAGATGAATCCACTCACAAGCAGGACAATAAATGGTCCCATTACAAACCCTAACCAAAAGACAAAGAAGACCCCCTGGTTAAATTAAGAAAAGCATCTGAAAGTGGAGTTAATAAGCCTCTGTGTTGTAATGTCTCCCAGGAAAAAAGTTCACGTTTCACATTGCTCAGGAGGAACAGAGAAAGTATTTGCTTTTATTTCTCTCTCTCTCTGTGTGTGTGTTTTTCTGAAGCCCTCCCCCCCCAGCAATTCAATGCACATGTTTTTAATGGTTCTCAAAGAGAACATGGCACAAGGAAATGAAAATGGGACTTAGCTGTTCTTGGCTTAAGTACTTACCTGATAGAGTCATGGAGGTAAGCCTGCCTCGTTCCAAGGGAGGTGCCCACTTTACCCATATTTCATGTTGGCCTGTTGACACTGTTCCCTGAAATAAAAAGATGAAGGCTTTTGGACCCTAATACTCTGAATTCAAACTCTGTGTCTGTTTTAATAATACCCTAGTACCTGGGCTAGTCCCTGAAGAACTCGACACACAATGAGCAAAGCTGCTCCAACTTGTGCAGCTGGTGGGATGAGCAGGGACAACACAGAGCTGAAGAGCAATGAAGAACCAATTATTCTCTTCATTGGGTATATTCCAGTGAGGTACCCAACAGGAAGCTGAACCGCAATCATACCACAGAAGACGGAACTGAGAATAAACCCTTGGACATCAAGACTCCAGGAATATACAGGGTTCTAAAAGAAAGAAAGGGAGACAGGTCTAAGAACTCTGCATTGGAGATGTTTGTGGGATTTTATGGGACTCAGGAGTGTGATCTTCCTGTGTAAAGCAGCCTCCGTGTCTTCCTAAAGTTTCCCCCCCCGACAAACAACTTTAGTATCTTATAATGTCTTTTTGCATGTGTGTTTACATTTCATCATTAATGTTTTCAATTATAGGTTAAGTATCTCCTATCCCAAATGCTTGGGACCAGAAAGGTTTCATATCCTTTTGGGTTTGGGAGATATTAGCAAATACATAATATTGTATCTTAGGGAATGTGAGCAGACATGGAGCTTATTTGTTTATTTATGCTGTATTGCTTGTTCTTCTCTTCTGTGTCTCAAAATACCCCACAAAAGCAACTTTCAAAAGGAAGGTTTTATTTGGGATCATAACTCTGGGATGTGAGTCACCACTGCAGGAAAGTCATGGCAGCAGCAGTGAGATGATGGCTGCATGTTATCCACGGTTAGGAAGAACAGAGACGAATTCTGACACTCGGCCTCTTTTCTCCTTTTACTCATTCTGAGATGCCAGCTCACCAGATGCTGCTGTCCACATTTAAAGTGAGTTTTCCCACCTCAGTTAACACAGCCTAGAAACCCCTTCTCAGAGATGTGCAGAGGCACGTATCCTTGGTGATCCTAGATCCTGTCAGGTTTCAGTCAACGTTAACCATATCTTTCATTTCCTCTGTTAGATACCATCCCTTTCACCTCCATCTCTTATGTTCTTATCCAATACCCTTATTCTAAAGAAGCTCTAACTCTTTGGTTTTGTTAGTCCTTAAACAGAAGTCATACAGTAGCCCTTCTAAAATGATGAACAATTTTTTACCTCATTACAAGGTTTGTTTATGTATTTGGATGTTTTATCTGCATATATGTCTGCATACCGGAAGAGGGCATCAGATTCTCATGGGATTATGGTTATAGCCATGTGGGTTCTGGGAATTGAACTTGGGGCCTCTGGAACAACAGCCAGTACTATTAACAGCTGAGCCATCTCTCCAGACCTCAAGCTAGTCTTTAATCATGGAATAGGATTATTTAGGTCCTCAGTCAAAGACTAAAACCTGAGTTTCATTTTCTAATTATTGCTATTATCTGGTCAATAGTATCTGACCTCTATAGAAATCAGCTATCAGGTTAAAGTTTTAAACTTATACCTCATACTTTGAACATACCTTTACATCATCTAGCATCTCCACTGCAGATTCATTGAGTAAATTGTGTGGTTTTGTGCTGTTCACCATGGCTACCATTGTGAGGTTTAGGCATACTCGCTGGGCCATGATGACACTATTACAGAAGTGCAGAAGGAGAGCCAGTCCATAGCGAAAGGAACAGAAACCTGGAACTGAGAAGCAGAAAAGACCATCTCAATTAGTAAGACTGTTCAAGTAAAAATTTGGAACGCTAGATATCCTAGCTAGTAAATTAAAATTTTATTGTAAAAACATTCCTCTAGAAATTACCATAAATGTGGGACTCTTCTAGTAACTTCTTATTACGTTAAGACATAGTTCCAATTAGAATGTCCCATAACGTTGATCCAGTTTGCAGATGCTTTCCTGCATTTCTACTTTAAAGGGACCTGTGACGAATACCTTGGGTTTCCTTTTGAAGTAAATCCCTTTAGTGATATCAATGGTATTTTTCTCTCATAGAAACCACTTTAATATTCAAACTGATATGACTATTCTAGCCGAGATACTCATATCTTGCACACTGAGAAATTTTTTTCTCAAAAAATGCAACCTTACTAAGAAAGTGATTGAATCACACAATTCTTTAAATCTCATCAAAAGCTCACTACTTTAAATTTCAAAAATCTCACCATCTAAATCAGACCCAGAGAACCCTTACAGGAGTGATCCAGTTAAGGTATTACATCTATGTGTGGACTTGGCAAAGGGACAAAATGTATGTCTTTACTATTGCCACTATTCTATTATGGGACAGGCACAGGACAAAACTACAAACTTTAAAATTCTAAAGGAGAAAAGAGTCATGACTCCACAATGGGTCTGAAGTTCAATTGAACAAATACTGGATTTTAAAATATATATTTTATCCTAATTGTAAAATGGCATAAGGTATGATAATCCAATAAACGTATTGTGAGGACACATTTGGTTGTCAATTTGATTTTCTGGAGAAACTACGAGAAAATGGTAATTTATAGTTTTGGGTTTGTTGTGAGAATGTTTCCAAAAGAGGGTTGGAATCTCGAGTACTTTTTCAGTAAGTTCATAATGGATGCTACCTCTCACACAGTCTGATGAGCATAATGTCATCAGTGCAATTGACCGCTGTGATACCTCGTGATAGAGGGAAATGATCAAGATCCCTGTGGACTAACATACAACACTGAAGACTGACAGGAGTAATGCATGGGCAGAGCATTTACCAAGCCTCACCTATCTATGGCTGTTGCTCAGTGCTCAATCTGCACTGTAACAGAGACCAATACTGACCTCACACTAGGCAGTTTCTGTGGGTGATCAGCTAGCAAGCTGATAGCAGAGTGATCGCACTGGATGATTTCCTCCACGGATGGGGCAGTGTTTTGTATTAACTAGATATCCAGTTATTTTGAATGGACATTTCTCCTTCCTTTATGTAATGTTTCTCTGGAAACAACCTTCTCTGAATTCAATGACTGCCTTGTTCCCCATCATGCTGATCTACACATCCCCATTCAGAGATTGTGTTCATGGACTTCATTGGCTTTACCATGCTTGTGGTGGAAAAGCCTTTTGATGACAATTACAGCATCAGCTTGATGGAAATTCTCTGTAAAGCGGGAATGATATTCTGCCAAAGATCGTTTATACTCTGAATCAGTACCCAATATGTGGTGCTGTTTTTCCCATAGTCACAATCTGTGATCCAGGAATTACGGGGTGGAAATAGGAACCATCACCTTTAAGTATTTGGCGGCAAAAGTTTCAATTCCTATTTTCAGGAACTGACCTTCCCTATTTTCTCTGCTGACCTCTATATATTGCTTCCAGGGGGGGAAATGCAGACACAGATGGCATAGCAAGGACTTCACTGAGCTAGAAGAACAGAGTTCTCCCCTGAGGGTGGGGGTGGGGCTTTCAGGTCCTCAGCCTCTGAGTCAATGGGCTATGAATGGAGTTAATGGGCTGATGGGGTGATAAATTTGAGCCACCCATAGGAAAATCTGGCTTGTATGCTGGAACTTGGCAAGAGAGAATGTGGCAAACAGGGGAGGTCCTTTAGCATTGCTCTCAGTGTTTCCAAGCCTTGTAACTAAAGCCAGTGAGACTCAATCATAACCCTATTCAAGCTGGACTACAAGTGACCCAGACCTCCAGGAATCAAGCTATAGATACCTCACCAAGTGTGAGGCCAAAATCCTTTGAGGTGCTTTATGAAGACAAAGGGCAGGGGATGGTAGTTATAAGCATCAGCTATGTCATTCGACATATTTATAAATACCAGCTATGACATGTGAAATCAATAATCGTTATCTACCCTATTTTGTTAAGAATACATTTGTGTCTGTGCATACATGTATTAAGTAAATTTCTTTCTTTTCTTTCTCTTAGTTTGTTTTTACCATCTAAGATGAGACTTGCTGACTAAATACAAATATTTAAGTGTTGCTAGTTGCATCATAGTGGTGGGAAAAACGTTAAGAACTATGTGAAAACTTTATTGTCTTTTCTGAAAATTTCTGAGTTTATATTCTCCTAGAACGTTTCTCTCCCCTGCCACCAGGGGCGCTGTGTTTAAGAAGGTGGACCCATGTACACTGGCACAGTACTACCTTTCTTGGGAAGGCACTGGTTCTCCATTTGATACTTATCTTCTTGTTGATGGGTTTGGTCTCCATCCACTGTGGATGCAAAACACACTAGTCAACAAAATTCACGAAGCAACCGACCAAACACGCAGGGCTCCTCTATGACTGAAATCAATGAATGGAATGTTAACCCATCCCATCCCATCAGTGCCCTTTCACCTCCATTGGTGGTGACCTTAGTTAACATTCTACTTCCATGATTCCTTTACTCATTTAAAATATATATAGAATCTGATAACAATAGAAAACAAGCAATCCTGCCAACCCAGGATTTTTTGTTATTTGACGAAAAATAAATAATTTATTAAAGAAACAAAAATTGAGGACATTTGCTGCCAGTAGGCTTGCCCGGAAAGGCAAATTGACAGAAAGCCAGGGTACAGAAAGAGGCTGCAGTGGTCAGAAACTGATATGTACATAAAGGCTAAATGCTGGGCAAGGAGTAAATACAAGTAGAACTCATTTTCTGTACCTTAAGAGAGGTGAAATATGACTGTCTTCTTACGAGTACCACCCATTCTCCACAGCCCCATGTAAACCTGTCCGTAGCCTCAGTTTCTCTGGAAAGAGAGTTGCTGCAACTAAGCCTTCATCTGCTGGGGGAGTCTGGGGATGATGATAAGTTAGAATTCAATTCTATGTATGCTGTGAGCCTAGACTCTTTTGAGATCTGGCTTTATCAGCTCACATGATGTCCACATGTCCCCCCAGACACCTAAGATTTGTATATTTGAGACATTCTAGAATGAGTAGAGCAACAACTACAATTTTCACATATTGGAGCCTCTTTTGAGCATCTGTTTATGCAATAAACACATAACAGCAGTACATAGATACTAAACATACTCGCACACAGAGAGAGAAATACTGCAAACATACTTTATATAGAACACAATACAGAGATACTACACAGACAACTACACACACCCACACACCTACACATATATACTACACACAGAGACACACTATACACATAACTATGCATACAATACAGTACACAAATACTTTACATACACATTGTACACAAACGCCACATACACATAAGCAATACACATATGCCACACACACACAAACACCACACACACAGAAACACTATACAGTGCTGTACATACCACACAGAACACGAATAATGCACACACAGAGAAACACTGTGCACACATAAGCAATATACATATACCACACAAAAAATGTACAGCACCACACACAGAAAGAAACATAACACATCTGATACGCATACAACACAACACAGAGACTCTACGCACATGGAAAGAGAAGCACTACATACATACTAAACACACAAGAAGCTCACACGCAGTATCCATTAACACAGTACACAGATGTGCTAGCCACACAAATACTCTATGCACATATCACGCGCATAATTATATGACACACAAACTATTTGCACACGAACACATTGCATAAATATCACACATAAACACTATACACAAACCCAGCACACGCATAATATACACACAAACATACTAGACACAAACCTAACACACACATTATGCACACAGATATACTGCACATACCGTATGGACATAGGCCACATGTAAATGCACGCCTCACACACCTACACATCACACAGGAATGGTACAACCACTTCCCTGGCTGCATAAATATCTTCGCACACAAACCAACCCTACAGCTGATGACACGTGTGCGCAATCTGCACCTGTCACACACAGTCTCTGCTTGCAGCCCAGCATACCATACAAGCTGTATGCTTGTACATCCATCATACATACCCACGTCATTGTATGCTTTCCGTCCATCACACACCAATCACAGATAGCTCATCACACTATCTTTTCTTTCCTTGGGTTCTTGTGCATAATTGCCCACGTCATACTCATTCCGAAAGATATGTTCTTTTTCTTTCTCCCTGAGACAAGTCTCAACATATAAGCAAATTCTTCTAAAGAGTTTCACTACATTTCTCATTACTGTAGGAAATTCTCTACCAGGAAGGACCCCTAAAGCTCTCTGGAGAATTAAAGTTAATTTCACTTGGTACAAGACAAGAGTCACACTGACCTGATTAAGACGGAGTAGCCCTTCCTCCTTCCAGGAAGACTTTTCACTCAATGAAAAGTCTTTGCTGAATTTTTCTACTTGCTGGTAAATCCTATACCAAATCCTTTGACCTCATCATACCAAAGATAATGTTTAATTTTTAACTTTACTTTTGGCCTAGCTTTGCATCTTTTGAGGAGAAGCATGAATCTTGGAATCTACTAGACTAGAACCTTCTGAGAACTGACTAGCAATTTCAGGGTTTAATAAACAGATCCCATAGTCTGGAGGGAGAATGCCTTCCGAAGGTTTTTCCAGGCTGTTTCAGTGGAGGAGACCTTTGGAATTCCCTGCATTGTCACAGAAACACAATAGCTTTAAACATGTTCTATTTGCTTTCCTGCCTTCCTTCCTACCCTCATTTTCCTCCTCCTTTCTAGCCTTTGCTCACACTCTCCTCCCTCCTAGTTTCTCTCCCTTCCCCCTCAATGTCTTTTCTTCCT